GGGAGCAGGGGGTGTAGCAGTCACATATGTCTGTTCTGTCCCATCATCTCACAAGTCTAAATGTGGCTTGCCAGAGTCTCTCTGCCATGCCCTCTTTCATCCCCCACCTGTGAAACCCATCCTGCAAGACCCAGTTCAAATGACACCACCTCTAGGAAGCCCTCCCAATCCTCAATCCCAAGTACTCAATCATTACAAATAATTACTAATGAATACTAATGGGATCATTGAAGACTTCAGTTTATCAAGGTCTGCTGTCCCACTAGTCTAAGAAAGCCCTAGAAGGAGGGATTGTGCCCAGTTCCCACCATGTCTAAAGTGGAATTCATTATCTCCTTCCTCAAACTTGCTCCTGATCTGTGTCCCCAGACCAATAGACAACATTACCATCTACCCCCACACTGGGCTCCTCCCTCGCACAGCCAACACATAACCAAGTAAGAATAGGTTCTTCTTTCTGTATATTTTCCAAACCACGCCTCCTCCCCATGCTCATGGCCTGGTCCTCTGTGTCCTGGAGCCTATAGAAGCCACTTCTGTATCTTTGGACCTGCAGTCTCATCTCCAAAAATCTGAACAATCTCCCTGAAACTCAAATTTGAACATTTTGTTCTGCTGCCTAAGACCTTTCTGAGGCTCCCCATCATCTTAGGACAGCGTCTACACTCCCCACCAAGTCACATAAGGTCCAGCAGGTGACTCCTGCTGATGACTACAGCCTCATCATTGCCCAGCCCAGATCCTTCCAGCCTAACAGCACCTGACCATGCTCCCCTGCCTTGGCACTTGGATTCCTCTGCCCAGCATGCTCCCTCCCTAATCTCCCCCTCCTGCCTCAAAAACTCTTATTTAGTCCTCTAGTGGCTCATCCTGAACTTACAAGGTTGAAGCAAACGCCATTTCTGGGTCCCTACAGATGCTTGTGCCCCCATCCCCATCCTGATCCCTCTCTCTGATCCACCATCCCCATCCTGACCCCTCTGCCTAGGTCTCCATCCCTCTGATGCCTTTACCTGACCTGCCCTGACCTTTCTGCCTGTGTCCCTGTGCCCACGTCGACCTGTCTTCCCTGCCCTCCCCGACCCCTCTGTCGGTGCCTTCTCACACCAGCCCTGTACATCCTGAGCTTCACCAACTTGTGGCTACTCTTTCTCCCTGTGGAGTGAGAGCTTCATGAGGGCAGGGCCCAGGGTCACCCCTGTGTCCTCAGCATCCCTCAGCACAGGCTGGCATGGAATGACCAGTTGACTGAGCGTAGGTCAGATGACTGGCTTAAGTGTGTTGAAGGCTTAGGAGGCTGGGGGACACCGTGGGAGAGAGAATTTTCAGAGTGGATATTTGAGTTGATCCTCAGAATACTCTCAGGACACACCTATCACATGCAGGCCTTTTCTGTCTACTGTGACCTTTGAAAACTGAGAGAGGCAATATCCTGGAAAAAAGAAATACTTGATTTTTCTGGAGGGAAATGGAGCTGGGTCAGGATTGTGTTTGAAAGCAAACACAGGCACGAGCAGATTTCAGACACACATAGCGTGGCCCACATGCCTACATCTCATGCCAGAATGCACATGCAGGATGCCCAACCACACACATACATACATAGTCACCAGTACTACGTGCATACATACACATGTGAATGCACAGTCAGATGTCAGGGTGGACACACAGACACACATGCAGACGCCCTCCAACAGGCATACTGCAAAGCATGTACTCAGTTGCTCACAAACAGATACAGAGACTGGCGTGCATTCAGGCACACTGGCCTGCACACACGCACCCTGTCATAAGCTCACACAGGTGTACACGTCTAGACATAAACAGGTATGGATACCCTCTTGTGTGCGCACGCACACTCCACAAAGACAGGGGTGTTCATCAATACAGGTATCAACATGGACACGCTGATACATACGTGCGCTCAGACGGGCAGAGACCCCCAGCATGTGCCCAGAATGACACACATACACAGATGTATAAATAAGAAGAAACATGACACAGGCCTCCAGGAGAACCTGCTGCACACACTGGCATGAACAGAAAGATCCAGAAGCACACAAGAGGGCTGAAAGGCTGACTTGCAGGATGAACATGACAAGGGGAGACACAAAGATATGGGTGGACAAGGTGCTGTGCCCCCATCAACCCCCAAACAAGCTGAGGGTTTGCCCCTGACGCACCCTCCTCACACTCCACCGTCCCTCCAGGAGGCCACCTCTGAGGTCAAAGCTCCATTCGAAGCTCCAGGAGAAAGGCTCAGCTGTGCCCCAGAAGGAAGGGCAGGCAGATTCGCACAAGGCTTTCTCTCCCTTCCCCCTTTCCCAGAGGGGAAGTATTCAGAACTTCAGACCAGAGAACATAAAGTCCAGAAGGGGGTTTAGAGAACCGCTTCCTCATGTCCTTCATCCTGAAGATTAATAGGAATAGCTATTACTTATTGGCACTTACTGCCATGTACTTCACAGCCATTAACCCACTGACTCTTCCCATAATGGGGGAAGAGGCAGGTCCTGTCATTGGCCTCAGGAGGCTCAGAGATGAGGTGAGTTGTTCAAGGTTCCACTGCAAGAACGGATAAGGGATTCCAATCCACGCCTTAACTGTGCTCTTAACTGCTGTGCAACCTGCTGGTTGGGATTAGGGGAACTGACACTTGCCAGGCTTGTGCTAATAGTCCAGCCATGCTTTTCATGACAAACAGGAGTACCTGGGTGGCTCAGATGGTTAAGCATCTGCCTTCACCTCAGGTCATGATCCTGGGGTCCTAAGATTAGCCTCACATCAGCAGCTTCTCATTCTCCCTTGCCTCTGCTACTTTTGTATGTACGCTCTCTCTCAAGTAAATAAAATCTTAAAAAAAGAAAACAAACCAACAAACATTCCTAGCCAATGAACAAAATCAAAACAAAGCAAAGCAAAAACCACCAACAAACAACTTTTCTATCTCTGCTTTGTTCTCTGCCCTCTGTTTCCGCCCCAGAGGACTAAGGCTCAGCGGCAACATGCCAGTCTGAGTGCCAACCTCACCCACCTGCACTCATCCAAAGTTAGCTCTGGCATCTGAACAGGTGAGAGGAAGTTTTGACCATCAGATGCTGCCTCGTGCCTTATGGGGCCCACAGAAGATCAATCCAAGACCCACATGGTGCTTATGTCAGAGCCAGCTGGGACCAGCCTCAGGGCTACATGGTGCCACCCTTGTGACCCCCTGAAGTCAGCCCCAGTGGCTGCCAGGGCCTACCGTCAGACCCTCCTGGCACCAGGGCTGGCTCCGTTAGTGTTCTCTTGGTATCAAGCTCAGTGTCAACTGGCTTTCAATGCTAGTGTCTAGTGGGGGCCAGCTGATGCCAGCAGCAGAAGTTGCTAGCGCATCTCTGTGCACTAGCAACTATTTATTAGCACTTACTGCCATGTACTTCACAGGCATTAACCCACTGACTCCCACATGCCAATCCCATGCCACCCCTTGCTACACTTGGCCTCCACTTGGCCCTCACGGTGGGCTAGGCCAGTCAGTGGAGGTAGGAGAGGACAGGGTTCAAATCCCAGCTCCCTACCTGCCACCCGTGTGACCTCAAGCAAGTGCCAGTAGAGAGGCTTGCTCTTCTGAACAGCAAAAGGAAGATGATATGAACAAGCCCCACTGCTAGAAGGATTCCATGAGCTCACACATCCACACACTGGATCTTCACAATTAGTGCTCACCAAAGGATAGTGCCCTATTGTTAAGAAAGACGGTCACTGAGGAAGGACAGCAAGGCCACCATGTGTTCTCACTCCCACCCTCAGTCTCCAGGGCTTGGCTCTCTCCCCACTCAGTTTTCCCAAACCTCTCCCACTGTGGGTCCCTCTGTGTGCTGCCAGTAGCCCTGCCAAACCTGCAATCACCCCAAAGGGACCTCACACGCCCTCCCCCTCCACCTTCTCTTCTCAGGTACTCCCTTTCCACTGGCGGGGAAACCCAGCCCCAGAAAGGGGAGTAAGCATGCAGAGGAGACACAGGAGCCCCTGCCCACCCTCTGTTGTCTCTCCTCAGTATCCCACATACGAAATCGGGAACACTAGTAACCCCACTACTAACAACAACAATGGGAATGATGATCCTAGTGAGCTCCCCAGGGACCTGGGTAGAACCAGTGAGGTTTTCTGTAAATTACACCCCTTGAGACACTTGGGACTTTTGGGCACCGTACTGGTGGATGTCATTACCATTTCAAGTCTTGCTCAGTCCCTCTGCCACTCAGACCACAAGTTACTCTTCTTTACTAAGGGAAGTTCCACTTAAATGTGGCTCTGGACTTCTACCTCTTTCCCAATCACAGAGAGGCAGGGACACTGATCCTGACCTTGCTTTGAAGTCCTCTAGGGATTCTCTGTTCAAAGCAATGGCAGGGCAAAGCCTGGGGCAAGTGCTACTCTTTGATCCTGCCAGACTCCCATATACTCCTCCTCCCAGGAACCCTATCACAGCCAGGGGTCCTCCCTCATCACAAGACCCTCAAATCCAGTCCCTGGGATCTCTCATCCCATGGCCTTTAACCATACATCCCTCTTCCCTCAAAAAATCCCAAATCTACAACCATACATGCTGTCCCATTCCAACAAAAACCCAATTCTCTGGATTCTTGTCTCCAAAGATGCCCTAATCCATAATTTTTGGATCACTTCTCACTCTACCTCAAATCCAAAGTCCAGGAGTCTGAATCCATATTTCCAAAATCTTAAGAATCAGAATTTGCTTACTGCTTCACCCAAGTCTATAGACTTCAGGTGACCCTTCCTAAGGGCCCTTCCACTCTGTTAATCTCCCAGGTGTCCCATCCTTCTGACTTGCTGTCTTGTCCCAAACTCAGCTGTGAGTCCAGGGGTGGAGGTGGGGAGGCACTATATCTGGGAAATGAAATGGCACAATTAACAAACAGAACCAAAGTCCACCCTTCTCTCCCAGGTGTATAAAGGCAAACCACCCCAGCCAGCACCATCTGACTGTCCTGCCCAGTGCCACCATGGTGGTCTCAGGGATCCTTCTGGTGGCTTTGCTCACCTGCTTGACAGTAATGGTCTTGATGTCTGTCTGGAGGCAGTGGAAGCTCTTGGAGAAGCTCCCTCCAGGACCTACTCCATTGCCCTTCATCGGGAACTATCTGCAGCTGAACATACAGCAGATGTCTGATTCCTTCATGAAGGTGTCAGGACATAATGAATGGGCAGAATGGAGTGGGGCTGGGGGGCTTGCCTAATTGATCTGGGACTTTGTGGCAGGGGATGGGCAAGGTTGGGTCATTCTTAAGAAAGTAGAAATGTGCAGGTTGGGCGTCAGGGTCCTGGACAAGAAAGAGCAGATTTTGGGATGTCCAGCCCCTTGAGTAACAGAATGTGGGGGAATGCATGCAGTAGGTAAGGACTGCTCTCAGGGCCAGGTCCCAGTGGGGGGCCGCAGCCTCTAAGCACTCCCACCTCCATCAGATCAGCAAACGCTATGGCCCTGTGTTCACCATCCACCTGGGGCCTAGGCGTGTCGTGGTGCTGTGTGGATACGAGGCGGTGAAGGAAGCTCTGGTGGACCAGGCTGAAGAATTCAGTGGGCGAGGCGCACAGGCCACCTTTGACACTCTCTTCAAAGGCTATGGTGAGGGGGCTCTGGGTGAGGGCCCGTGGTCAGGCACACTTGATGCCTCAATTTCTCCACTCTTCTTCTGACTCGCCTGCCCAGAGCTATGGCCAAGTTCTACCTCTGCTCCCCTCTGTCCTGTTCTTGGTTATTGTGGCCTCTCCCTGGTCTTCTCTAGCTTGACTCAGGGTGTCTGTGTCTCTGCTCCTCCTGGTTCTCGGCCTATCTCCCTGTTCTCTCTCACCCATGCCTCTTCTTCCTCTGGGTTTGGGAGGACATCTTGCTTAAAACCTAGGTCATCCATCTCTGCGTCCTTTACTCTCTCCTGATTGTTTTCTTCCAACCTGGTCTCTAAATCTTTCAGTATTTCTCTAACTCTGACTTGTATTTCTCCTTGTCTCCCCACCAATTGCTCCCCAACCCATCTTTCCCTGCCTCTTGCTCTCTGACTACCTCTGTCCACCTCTGTCCACACCCCTACCCACATCCTCTCACCCCTATGCTCCCTCCCCAGGGGTGACGTTCAGCAACGGGGAGCGGGCCAAGCAGCTCAGGCGCTTCTCCATCACCACACTGCGGGACTTTGGAGTGGGAAAGCGCGGCATTGAAGAGCGCATCCAGGAGGAGGCAGGCTTCCTCATTGAGGCCCTCCGGGACACACGAGGTGAGTGAGCAGGAGGGAGAGAGAAGGAGGGCTACACTCACACAGGCATGTGCTTTCTCCTCCAGGAAGGGGACTGGATTGGGAGAAGGGATCCAGGCTCTGGGATCCTGTGCTAGAAGTTTGGCTCCTCACTCCAGGGCTCTCCCCCAATTCTCAGGCTGGCATCAGAGCACCCAGTTGATGCTTTCCAAAATTGCTGTCTCTCCCCACCCCCAACCCATTCCCCAGGTGCCTTCATCGATCCCACCTTCTTCCTGAGCCGAACAGTGTCCAATGTCATCAGCTCCATTGTTTTTGGGGATCGCTTTGACTATGAGGACAAAGAGTTCCTGTCATTGCTGCGTATGATGCTGGGGAGCTTCCAGTTCACAGCTACATCTATGGGGCAGGTAACCCATCTCAATCTGGCTCTACAACACTACTACTGCCAAATGCTCCCCCACGTGGAAAACATCTGCCCCAAACTGCATCCTCCTCTAGTAGGGTATTCTCAAAAACAGCCCCCATTCTTGGACAATTGAACGTTGCATCAGAACCCAGGACATGTGTCCAGGACCCAGTTTCCAAAGACACCTGGATATCTCAACAGTAGATCCTCCCCAAAAAAAGGAGGAGCAGGAAAATGAAGAGGGGAAGAAGGAGAAAGAGGAGGAAGAGAAGGAACAGGAGAAAGGGAAGGAGGAGAGGGAAGGAATAGGAAGAAGAGGAGTTGGAAGGGACAGTAAAGTGGAAATAGATGGAGGACGAGGAGAAGAGGAGAAGGAGGAGGAGGAGGAAGAGGACGAGGAGGGAAGGGGAAGAGGAGGAGGAAAGGAGGGAAGGGGGAGGAGGAGGAACAGAGGAAGAAGAAGAAAGAAGAAGAAGACCATCAGAGCCTGTAGACAAGAAACACATCCTCATACCAGCTCTCTCACCTGGGTAGGTGTTCTCATCCCGACCTAACCTTAATATCTAATATTGCTCCCTATTAAGATATTCCATCTTTCCGTCTGAGTACTTAGCACCTGGACAAATAAGCACCTCAGCCCATTTCCCGAACACCCAAACACCAGGTACTATAAAATCCAGCCCATTAAAATAATTTGATATTTACACAGATGTCCCACACTGGCCCACTAGAATAGCTAGTAAGTGCCACCTACAAGCCCAGATAAATATCTGAACATCATGACAGGTTCCAGTAATGATCCCCTAAATGTGTAAACACACCTGGGTAAACTGATCCCCAAACACTGAAAAAGTATCCCCCAATCCAGCTCACTCAAACACCTGCAGATATGCCCCCTATCAGCCCATATGAATAACTCACACACATGAACAGATGTCTCCATCCACATTTAAAACACCTGCACACCAGCCCCACTTAATACCTCAAACCTAGACAGAAGCCCTCAATTCAGATCCACTATGAATAATTGTCTCACACTTGTGAGATCATATGAATGCTTAAACAACTAGACATGTGTTTCCCATCAAATCTTGAATACTTGAAACCTGGATGTGTCCCAGTCCAACTCACCTACATTCTTTTTTTTAATGATTTATTTATTTATTTATTTATTTATTTATTTATTTATTTATTTATTTATTCATGATAGACAGAGAGAGAGAGAGAGAGAGAGAGAGAGGCAGAGACACAGGCAGAGGGAGAAGCAGGCTCCATGAGCCAGGAGCCCGACACGGGACTCCATCCCAGGACTCCAGGATCACGCCCGGGGCCAAAGGCAGGCGCTAAACCGCTGAGCCACGCAGGGATCCCCTCTCACCTACATTCTGAGACAGGAGCCCTCACACTGAACTCACATGAAAATGTATATATCTCCTCCGATCAAGCCTCATATATAACCTAAACACTTGGACAGGTGCCTTTAACCCACTGCCTTCCTTGCCCCAAGAAAGGTCCTGCTCCTATCAGGACCTACCCACTGACGCCTGTCCTTCCCGTCCTTTCTTCTCTCCCCATCCTCAGCTCTGTGAAATGTTTCATTCAGTTATAAAATACCTGCCAGGACCACAGCAACAGGCAATTAAGGAGCTGCAGGGTCTGGAAGACTTCATAACCAAGAAGGTGGAGCAGAACCAACGCACACTAGACCCCAACTCTCCTCGAGACTTCATTGACTCCTTCCTCATCCGCATGCAGGAGGTACAACCCAGCAGCATTCCTCTTTTGCGGACAGCCTGCAAAGCCAGGCAGAGGGAAACAGGCTGGGATGGGGAGAGCAGAGGCCCATTCTTATCATCCCCCTCATAACATCCTCACCATCCCAAGTGTAATAACCCTGGCTGCTCCATCTATGAGCACTTGCCCATGGGTAGGACCTGCATGTGAACCATTAAACAACACTTGTGTACCGTGTGCTTGATGTCTGCATCCCTCTCCTTCTAATATTCTTTACCATAAAACTGTGACACTGGGGCTGATGAGTAAAGGACAGATAGGGAGCCAGGTAAAGAATGTGGAAGGGTGTTTTGGGCAGAGCCAGCAGCCTGAACAAAGCCTTGGCTGGACTGAGGTCTTCTCCCCACCTCTGGTTTGGATCTAAGAGAGGTGGGTCCAGACGGAAAGATCCCGGAAGGGCTCTGAGGGCCCTGAGGGGAGTGGGTCTGGCCTGAAGCCCTCTCTCCCTGCAGGAGCAGAACAACCCTAACACGGAGTTTCACTTGAAGAACCTGGTGTTGACCACACTGAACCTCTTCTTTGCGGGCACTGAGACAGTCAGTACAACCCTGCGGTATGGCTTCTTGCTGCTCATGAAGCACCCAGATGTGGAGGGTAAGCCGGGGAAGGGGGGCAGGCAGTGCAACAGTGGCCACAGATCCCAACACTTCCTGAGTCCACTGTGATGTCCCCACCTTTCCCAGGGCCCAGGACCCTAAGGATGCTCTGTTATCCAGCTATAGGTGATATTCTGCTGATAAGCATCAGCTGAGTTTCACTCGCTGTGAAAATGTTGAAAATACCTGAACTGACTGGCAGATAGTTCCTGTGCCGAGCCAACTGTATGTTAGAGACCACATACAGCTTGAGACCAGGTGAATAGAATGCTTCACCAACAATGTTTATGGCCAAATCTGTTTTGAATGGTCTACATCCATGTTACAGATAGATATACATAATTGGACTATCATCCCCACCCTGAGACCCCCAGATAGCTAAACACTTTCCCCCTCCTCCCACAGCCAAAGTCCATGAGGAGATTGATCGGGTGATTGGCAAGAACCGTCAGCCCAAGTTTGAGGACCGGGCCAAGATGCCCTACACAGAGGCAGTGATCCATGAGATCCAAAGATTTGGAGACATAATCCCTTTGAGTCTGGCCCGCAGAGTCATCAAGGACACCAAGTTTCGGGAGTTTCTCCTCCCCAAGGTACTTTCCTGTCTGGCCTACAGGGACCTCCAGCCTGCTCCTTGTGACCTAGCATCTCCCATTCCCCTTAGAAGCTTCCCAGCCCCTGTCCCACTGTCTCAATCAAACACTCCCCCAACCACCATTTCCCTTCAACCCACCCACTCAGAGATTCTTGAATCCTTTATCTTCCTCAGAGCTCCTGCCACAGGGCATATGAACCCCATGTCCCCAAACTTTCTCTTTCAAAAGACATGAATCTATTTCTAGACCCCTCTCTCAAGGGCATGAATCTCATGTCCCCCAGACATCTCACCTAGAGAGGCACAAACTTGATATCTCTCAAACTTCCTGTCTCTGGGAGCATGAACCCATATCCTTTCAACTTCCTGCCTTGGAAGACATGAGCGGCACATCCCCCATACCTTCTGTCCTAAGAGACACAGAATCTGTGCTTTTCAAACTTCTCTTGTCAGGAGACATGAACCCCATGTCTGCCAAGCTTCCTTCTAAGCACCCACAATCCCACACCTCCCATTTCTCATCACCTAGGGCAGGCACTCCAATTGTACCTCCAACCTCCATGCGCTTTCAGCACACGATACCCCCACTCTACCTTATCAGATCCCTCTCTCCTCCTCACCAGGGCACCGAAGTGTTCCCTATGCTGGGCTCTGTGCTGAGAGATGCCAAGTTCTTCTCCAACCCCCAAGACTTCCACCCCCAGCACTTCCTGGATGAGAAGGGGCAGTTTAAGAAGAGTGATGCTTTTGTGCCCTTCTCCATTGGTAAGAGACCACTGTCTGCTGCCAAGCCACTGCTCCCACCAACAGGGCCTCCTTCATCCCAGCTCCCTCTCTAAGGTGCAGCCTGGTGTCTTTCTCCAGCTTGGAAGTCCCTCTCATGCTCTACCTTGCAGCCCATCAGTTGCAACCTCCAGAGCTACTTGAGCTCAAGCAAAAGGATAGGGGTGATCATACCCGTTTCAGAGAAGCAGAAAAATCAAAGCCCTTAGTGAATCAGAGATTTGTCCAGAGTCATTTACATTCTTCTTTAGGTTCCTTGGGTGGAGATGAGAGCCCAGCAGCCATATACTTGGATACTTGGAGGGAAGGGGCATCTAAATTTCCCATTGCTACAGACTGCTAGCTCACCCCCATCTCCTGTGCAAGGGAAACTGGTGCTCAGAGAGGATTAGAGATGTCTCTGAAAGTCTCTGAGGCCACGATATTGCAGCACCTCCTCCCTGGGTAATGCAGCTGGGGATGGACAGTGGGGCAAGAGGGCAGTGAGAGCAGGCCTTACCTCCAGCTCTCCCATTTTGTGTCTTCAGGAAAGCGATACTGTTTCGGAGAAGGCCTGGCTAGGATGGAGCTCTTTCTCTTCCTCACCACCATCTTGCAGAACTTCCGCTTCAAGTCCCTGCAGCTGCCCCAAGACATCGACGTGTCCCCCAAGCTCGTGGGCTTAGCCACCATCCCACGAAATTACACCATGAGCTTCCAGCCCCGCTGAACAAGGGCTTTGGGAGGGTAGGGCTGGTTGGGGGAGCAATGCAGAGGTAGGTACAGGGGCGTGGCTACTGAGTCTAGCGGGGTTATTGGAGGGTGGGGCTAGCAGGAGGGAGGTGGAGTAATGAAATAAGAGGGGCAGAGTGGGGATCCCTGGGTGGCGCAGCAGTTTGGCGCCTGCCTTTGGCCCAGGGCGCGATCCTGGAGACCCGGGATCGAATCCCACGTCGGGCTCCCGGTGCATGGAGCCTGCTTCTCCCTCTGCCTATGTCCCTGCCTCTCTCTCTGTGACTATCATAAATAAAAATTTTAAAAAAAGAGGGGCAGAGTGGATGGGAGAGGAAGAGGAAAGGAATGGGCTTTATTCACCTTGGAAAACATAGATTCTTCATCGGTGGGATGAGAGGAAGGGAAATTATTGAGCAAATATTCTCTGTCAGGTCCATGCAAAAGTGTTAACACATTTACTTCACCTAATGCTCACATGGCTATGCAACAGAAAACTGTTTATGCCCATTTTACAGGTGGCAAATCTTAAATAATTCGCAAGGAATCTACAACAATGACCAAAAAAAAAAAAAAACTCCTAATAAATGACTTTAGCAAAGTCACTAAACATACCAAAATTTTTTTGTGTGTTGTTGCTTTCTATACACTAGCAAGAACTCTATGAAATCAAAATTAACACAATACCATTTACAGTCACTCCAAAAAAATTAATATATGTAACTATCTAACAACACATGCACAGAATCTAACAACACATTCACAGAACTTAAATGCTGAAAGCTACATAACACTGAAGAAAGATCAAAATTTTTTTAAGATTTTATTTATTTATTCATGAGAGACAGACAGAGAGAGAGAGAGAGGCAGAGACACAGGCAGAGGGAGAAGCAGGCTCCATGCAAGGAGCCCAACATGGGACTCGAGCCCGGGGCCCCAGGATCACACCCTGGGCCGAAGGTAGGGCTAAACTGCTGAGCCACCCAGGGATCCCCAAAGGATCAAAATTTTTATATAGACAATCTGAATATCCATTGATAGATGAATGGATAAAGGAAATGTGTGTGTATGCAATATGCAATAGAATATTAGTCAGTCATAAGAGGGAAGAAAATCCTTGCATATGTGACAACATAAATGAAACTTAAGTATTTTATTGAGTGAAATAAGCCAATCAAAGAAGAACTAATAATATGTGAATCCACTTGTAGGGTGAATCTAAAATAGTCAAACTCATAGAAGCAGAGAGTAGAGTGGTGGTTGCCAGGGGCTGGAGGAAGGGGAAAAAGAGGCATTGGTCTTCAGTGGGAATAGTTTCTGTTGCCGAAGCTGAGTAAATTCTAGAAATCTGAGGCAGGACGTTGTGTCTATAGTTGGCAATACAGTAGACTTAATTTGTTAAGAAGGTAGTTCTGTTGAATGTTCTTTCCACAACTAAAAAAAAAGAAAAGAAAAAATCTAACAACAAAGTATAAACTAAAAAGCAGAAGGATTTACTGACACCCTAAAAAAGAGGATTAAAAGTCACCCCAGGGGCACCTGGGTGGCTCAGTGGTTGAGCGTCTGCCTTCGGTCCAGGTCATCATCCTGGGGTACTAAGACTGAGTCCCGCACAGGCTTCTGGAGCCTGCATCTCCCTCTGCCTATGTTTCTGCCTTTATGTGTCTCTCATGGATAAATAAGTAAAATCTTTAAAAAGAAAAGTTACCTCGGGGATCCCTGGGTGGCTCAGCGGTTTAGCGCCTGCCTTTGGCCCAGGGCGCGATCCTGGAGTCCCGAGATCGAGTCCCGAGATCGAGTCCCGCGTTGGGCTCCCGGCATGGAGCCTGCTTCTCCCTCCTCCTGTGTCTCTGCCTCTCTCTCTCTATCATAAATAAATAAATCTGTTTTTTAAAAAAGTTACCTCAAAGTGATGAATAACCTGGCCTTTGTGATTGCTCAGGTCAACCTAATAAATCGCATAGAGTTTGGTAAGACCAAAATGACATTTATTTTACATATATTTAATTTAGGTGACAGTATGCATACCAGTGAGAATGATTCGGTTGAAAATATAGAAATTATGGCATAAAAGTTAGTCTGGAAATAAAAGTCATGATGTAGGAATGAGTTAGGGGCAGACGGGGGCTAGGCAGGGAAAGATAAGGAAAAGTCCCCAGAGTCAGGCTCCTATCCACTCCAAGAAAACAGAGATAAGACAGTAAAAACAGAAAAAAATAAACCCAGCTCTCTAGCTCCAAAATGTTAGGGAGTATCCCCCTTTAGGCTACTAAGTAATCACAGAAATCCCAGATGTAGAGAAATGTTACGGAGGAGATATAGACCTAGAGAAGGGAACACTTTGTGCTCACGACATTTACAAAAAAAAATCTTGTTGTTACAAGCCCACCTTTTTTTTTCTAAATATAGACATGATACTTACAAATCCACCCTGATATTGATGAGAAATTTACCAAGTTCCCTTGTCATTTTCCTATAAAAGACAGACCATAAAAGTCCTCAGTGGCAACCCTATGGGGACCCCTCTCACTTTTGAGAATTTTCTCTGTATCTCTGCTTAATAAACCTCTATGGCTTTGCTCGCTTTCTTGTTGGTGAGATTCATTCTTAACTCCGTGAAACAAGAATCAAGTTCTCCTGTATCAGTCACATGCAAATAAATGTCCTATTATAGTTTGAAGAAAGTACCTTCTTCTTATACTTTACTCAGCTCAACCTCCTCAGAAAAGAATGCTCACAACTGGAAGCAACACATAATGAAGGTGGGACAGCTATCACAAGGATAATTTTTAGATGTTTAGAAATGTTTTATAAATCCTTTTTTAAAAAGGACTTTATTTATTTATTCATGAGAGACACAGAGAGGCAGAGACATAGGCAGTCTCCATGTCAGGAGCCTGATGTGGGACTCAATCCCTGGGATTCCAGGATCATGCCCTGGGCAGAAGGCAGGTGCTCAACCACTGAGCCACCCAGGAGGCCCTTATAAATCCTTTTGAATAATTTCTGTAAGCTACGAAGATATCTGTGTATCTAATACTTGAATGTGTAGGAAAATTTTGGAGATTATACTGTACTTTGAATTCCTGAGAATATTAATGAGTACCAAACTGTCAGATCTTTTCAATTGTGATGTAATATTGTTTGAAAAGGTTACTGGACTTGGGTCCTTGGACCTAGGAACGAGAGAAACCAGGCTGAACCCAAAATTTAAAGGCACAAGCAAAGCTTTATCAGAGCTTATGCTGGAGCACCAAGGAGGCAACACAAAGGAAAGAATCCTCAGGCTGACTCTCTGAGGTCAGGAAGTTTTTTTAAAGAAACTTAGGTGGGAAAAGCATGACTTCTATGCAGGTAGAAGTGGGGATTTATTAGTACCTGCATACTAAAAGGTTATGTTTCTTCATATATTACATGTCTAATTAACATGTTAAATCTTATCCTTCAGGGTGCCGAGTGGCTTAGTCAGTTAAGTGTTGGACTCTTAGCTTCAATTCAGGTCATGGTCTGGGTGTCTTGAGGTCAAGCCCATGTAGAGCTCTGCACTCAGCAGGGAGTCTGCTTGAGATTCTCTCTCTCCCTTTCCTTCTGTCCCTCCACCCACTAGCACTCACACACGTGTGCGTGCTCTCTCTCTCTCTCTCAAATACATAAATAAACCAAAAAATAAAAAACTCTACCCTTGTGTGATTTTTAGTATTATAATGAAGGGAAAAGTTGCTGAAATTTCGGCACTGGGGGGTCCTTCTTGGTGCAAACTTGTTTGGCCTGGTCTTAGTAGTGAGCATCCTCCCTCCCCATTCCTGCAAGATATCCTAATCAAGAAGCACAGAGTTTTAGCTTTTTCTTCTTCTTCTTCTTCTTCTTCTTCTTCTTCTTCTTCTTCTTCTTCTTCTTCTTCTTCTTCTTCTTCCTCTGGAGGTAGCTATTAGGGGTACCCGGCTGGCTCAGTTGGTGGAGCATGTGACTCCTGATCTCTGAATTATGAGTTTAAGCCCCACATTGGGTGTAGAGCTGACTTAAAAGATAAAATCTTAATAATAATAATAAAAAAAAGAATGCTGGATTTTGTGGTCAGGATTGAGGGGACCCAAGTCTAGTCCCTACCCTGTCTCCAAAAGACTGTATGTTTCTGAGGAGACAAAAAGGGCTCTTACTCAAATAAATATGTTACCCAAAATAAGTCAGAGGGTTGCCTGGGTGGCTCAGTTGGTGGAGCATCTGCCTTCCGCTCAGGTCATGATCCCAGGGCCCTCAGACCTGTGTTGGGCTCCCTGCTCAGCTCAGAGCCTGCTTCTCCCTTGCCCCCTGCTCCTACTTTCTCTCTTTATCTCTCTCTCAAATAGATAAATAAACCCTTAAAAAATCAAGCCAGAGTTCAAAGAGAAAAAAAAGCAAGAAGTTCGTCAACATAACTCTACTAACTAGTAGAGTGCCCAGCACCTATTAGCTGTAGGGTGATGTTTTAAACATTAACCATCTGGTATGACAAGGTGCTGACCAATGAAAATGAATACTATTTGCCTTTGTTTTTTCTTTTTTTAAAGATTTTTTTATTTACTTGATAGAAAGAGAGTGCACAAGAGCAAGCACAAGCAGGGCAGATAGGCAGAAGGAGAAGCAAACTCCCCTCTGAGAAAGGACCCTAATGGGGGACTTGATCCCAGGACCCGGGAATCATGACCTGAGGGGAAGGCATACACTTAACCAACTGAACCATGAAGGTGCCCTGCCTTTTCTTTTCCTATTGAGAAGCAGGGGTTAATATCATGGACACTGGTGTCAGACAAGTTGGGTTTTTAAATCCCAGCCCTGACTGTGTAACCCTGCAAGTGATTCAGTCCCTGGGTGGCTCATTTTCTCATGAGTCTGTCTGGGGATATATGTTTCAAGCATTTCGAATCCTAGGGGATTCATTAGGGGTAACAGGTGACTTCTTATTCTCTTTCTGTTGTGTCAATTTTTCGCTTTCTGTTTCTCGATTTCCACGTGCCTCTTTCTCTGCCTCTCCCTCTGTCTCCTATCCTCTCTCTAACCAGAATATCTTGTAGGTTGCTGTTCCCTGCCCGCCCCCTCGCCCCGCTTCCACCTTGGTTCTCCTTTCTCTGCCCTTCCTCTTTAGTCCTTCACCGTCCTTACCACCACCCCACCCCAGCCTGCCTCCATGGACCCCGATTCTGCACCATGGCTTTCCTCAGGTGAGAGCACGAGTTCCAGCTGTGCTCCACGAGATCCCTCTCCCTGCAGCCAGAACCGGCAGAGGTGCCCTCACTCTCTTTGGCGACAGATGATCCTCCTTTCTTAAACTCAGGCCTACTGTGTCGTGTTCCTTCCCAAGGTAACTTTACTAGGAAACGAAACAAAAGCTCCAGAGAAAGATGAGAGACACAAGTTTCAGGGTATCCAAGTGGCTAAAACATAGTTTTCTCCTCCTCGGGGTCTTTTGTTGACTTCAGGGTGGCGAGTCACCATGGGAAGGGGGCAGAACATGTGGAAGACTGATTGTGGAGAGGGTAGGAGGTTTTAATGGCAAAGATGATGCAGCCAAGAGAGTGTGACAAGAGGGAAAGTAGCCAATGGGGGGGGGGGGCGGTGATGGAAACCTCAGCCCTTGGCGCAGGCGCATTTAAGAGCCTAGGCGAGCCTGTTGCGGCAAGAATCAATTGGGGCCACGTCGATGTCCTTGGGCGCCCCCTGCGGCTGCAGCGAGAAGCTGTGCAGAATGACGGTGAGGTAGGCAGTCGAAGAACTCCATGTGCGTCAGCGACTTGCCCAAGCCACGTGGGCACATCCGACTCCCTGGCGTGAGAACAGGGTCTGAGTTGAAATGACACATAAGAAGAGAGGTTGTGACTTGCTCAAAGCC